CCTTCATCTTCTCTACGGACAATGTTTCCGTATTTGCTAAGATGGTGTTGCAGTGGCTTCAGAGACCATAACTGCCCCGACTGTTGTTACAAGCACTAATTTGATGTGTAGTGACAGGAAAAGCACCAAATTATAGAGCATTTTCAGAAACAAGAGATCATCTTCCCCAACTCAAAAACAACAGTTGAAGGTTCCTGACAGGACAACCACAGGACTGGTAATGGTGTTATTTTGCAGCTTACAGACCAAAATAATTGGAATAACACAATGCAAAAATTCAGAAAATGAGTATTACACCACCATGGACAAAGATCTGTGGCGGCTCCATGGGGTGCAGGCAAGATGATTCAAGCGGATAAGGGAAGAAAATACAATCCCATTCATTTATACTCATTTAAACCTCATCTTTAAATTCTAATTTACTTTATAACTTAATAACAGTACACAATGAATTCTACTGGTTACAATAAATTCTATTGGCTATGCCTACCCCAACTCTGACACTTTGTGTGTGTGTGTGTGTGTGTGTGTGTGTGTGTAGTCAGAGAGTCGTGTGTGTGTGTGTGTGTGTGTGTGTGTGTAGTCAGAGAGTCGTGTGTGTGTGTGTGTGTGTGTGTGTGTGTGTGTGTGTAGTCAGAGAGTCGTGTCTTAAGCTCTGCAACCTTTTAGACTGTAGCCCGCAGGCTCCTCTGTCCATGGGATTCTCCAGGCAAGAACACTGGAGTGGGTTGCCATGCCCTTCTCCAGGGCATCTTCCCAACCCAGGAGTTGAACCTGTATTTCTTGTGTATCCTACACTGCAGGCAGATTCTTCACCCATTGAGCCATCAGGAAAGCCTGCTGATGGTTTATATAACCTAAAAATGTTGAGTGATCACCACCATAGAGGATCAAAGTCAGTGCTTGAGAAGAAAAGAAACTCCAGAGGCACATGTTCTGCAGTGAGGGGCAGGACTGGTGTCTTTGAGGACTCAGATGCACTGGGAACCATCGAGGGAAAGCTGGTTCTACTGCTGTTCTGCCCCCAGCAAGTTGTGATGACCCTCACAAAGACATGCCTCTAGGCATCCATTGATTTACATGACAAATTAATTAGCTGGTAATGACACTGACTAGATGATCGGAGCAAGGAACACTTCTCGCTCCAGAAATTTGACCATTCTGACTCAAAGGAAATAAGATACATTAGCAGTTAAGTAAAACCATTGTTTATTATTGTCTGTAGCCTAAGGGTTAAAGGCATACCCTGACAGAGCAACAGGCTGTCAACAACACCTTTCCAGACTGGGAAGATTCTATGGAATCCTGTAAGGTATCTAGGAGTTAGTGTCATCTTACATAGTTATAAGCTGCATCATAGGCACCTTCAACTCTTAACTACTCAGCAAGGGGAAAAAGAGAGAGAGAAAGGGAAAAAATTAACATAACCAGCGCTGGTAACTTGTCTGCCATTCCACTCACAGAAGGTATTCTGTTCCCTGGGACAGTCTCAGTTCCCCAGTGTCTCTGACAGCATGAATGGTTCCGTTTGAGCCTAGTGTTTGACACAATATATTTTTCATCTACGTCACCTAATCCCAAACCAACTGCTTCCTTCGGTGCTCAAGAGAAGCAGCAATATTTCAGCTCTGAAGGAAAAATGGCTGCATGTGATCTACAGAAAGATGGACTCAGTCTCCAGAGAGGACTGGCTTCCTAAGGGTATTTCAAAGGCATTGTTTTTGGTAAACCTTTTCTTTTGTATTGGGGTATAACCATTTAACAATGCTGTGATAGTTTTAGGTGGACAGCAAAGGGACCCAGCCATATATATACATGTATCCATTCTCCCCCAAGCTCCCCTCCCATCCACTGAGCAGAGTTCCTCATGCTATAGGGTAGGTCTTTGTTGGTTATCCATTTCAATTACAGCAGTGTGTACATGTCATCCCAAACTCCCTAACTATCCGTTCCTCCCCTCTCCCCCGCCGAAACTGTTTGTTCTCAAGTCTGTGAGTCTCTTTCTGTTTTGTAAGTTCATTTGTATCATTTCTCAGATTCCACATACAAGGAATGTCATAGGATATTGCTCCTTCTCGGATTTACTTCAGTGTGACACTCACAAGGGCAATTTAATACTCAATTTTCACAGTGTATACTGATGGCAGAACCAAACCCCCAAATAAAGTATAGTTATTCTGTTCCAAGGGTGTACTCCTAAACCCATCACCAAGAGGTGGTGTAAACTAAAATTTGCCACCATATACTTTAATGGTATTTCTTACTGATTAAAGTGCTCTCATGTCAGCTGAGACCAGGCAAGGAAGATGGAACAAGCACTGTGGTTCCCATTTCAGAGATGGAACGCAATAATGGAGAGAGTAAGAGGTGCTGTGTCAAGACAATTTGGTTTCAAATCCTAGGCATACTGTTCAATTTTTCAGAGCCTCAGTTTCCTATCAGTAATATGCAAACAGTGCATACAACCTGAATTGTAGTCAAGTATACCAGTTGCATCTCAATGTTTCCTTTCATCATTCCAAGTTCACACACTAACATGACTAAAGCCCAAAGTAGAACAGAGGTCCAAGAGGATATAATTTAGCATCTCTTTAAAGGGTATTCAAAAGATACAGACATTCTGCTGAAGGATTTTTTTGGTTCAAATAAATTTGTGAAATGTTAGTCTATTGAAGATTCACAAAGCATTATATGTGTGCAAGTGTGTGTATGATATAAAGGATCTGAGAAGGTGTGCAAAAAAAAACAACCTGGTTGAATACGAACAGAACATTTTCTCAATGCATTTAGTAATCTTTTTCTGCATAGTTACAATAAACGTCCACAAAGACCTAACGTTCTTCTGAACATACTTTCAGAAACATTGGTTTTAATCATTTAATGCATAGCAAATAGACAACTGTAGTAATTAATATTAATACAAATAATAATAGGTTATAGGACAAAGCACAAGAAACTATCCTTTAAACAAGATCCTTGAATGATTTTTTTGCAGTCTGGTCTCAAATGCAAAAAAAAAATCTATTTAGACCATTAAGGCATTTTTATTCTCAGAAAGATTTCAGAATAAGTCTGTCATAAACAAAGATTCAAAGAAGTGGCTCAGGTCATCTTGCAGAAGACAGTGGATTAAAAAAGGTGAAAGAGCTGTATTATTTTTTGTTACAAAATTGATTTGGATGAAATATCTTCTCCCTAAATAGATTTTCCAAGAATGGTACATATGCCATATTACTACTTGTCATTACTCCTGGTCTTCTGATAACAGTGGAAAGCAAGACTGTGACTTGTAAACTATGAACCATAAAAATGAAGAATCCTTTTTTTTTTTTTGAAAACTACAAGAAAGTAGTTATTTTGTCACAAACAACAAGAGAAAGAAAGTCCACTCAGTTATCAACATCTGGCCAATTCTGAGTATTTCTGCAGAGGCCTCACGTGTACTTAAAAACTTGGGGGGAAAAAATGCCAAACTAGATTTCTTAAGAAACTTTGCTGGATGTCAAGATATTGTGATCCTTCTAAAGAATCTGTAAGTGGCTGTTACAGTGGAGACCTAAAAGTGTATACCAATTTTATATTATAACCTAGATCAAGAAAAACATTCCTCACAGGTAACTTTAAAAAGGTAAATTAAAAAAATTAAAACTAAGACTTGCAGTTCGCTAGAAGATGGATTTTCCCTACTTTGTATACAGTACCTCAATTATTGCACGCAAGCACTTCTATGAGAACTTTCATCTTAAACCTCTAAAAGTCAAATAAACAGAAGATTAGGCTTGAAGGATTCTTTTAAAAATTATATTAATATCTGATATTTAATCATCTTGACAAATATAATATATATAAAAAAGAACCTGCTCTAATGCAAAGTTTTAAGTTTGTGAATTAGATGCAGACAACTGTTGGTTAGCACTGCTATCCTAGATGACTTGGGGTAAGAACTGTCTTTTTATAAAAAAGGAAAACGGACGGAATCTAGACCGTTGCTAACCTAGTCCACGAACATTCAGTGAGAGGTTCGGCCACGAAAACACCAGGAGTGGGAAAAGGCGAAGAATAACCATTACTGCCTAAGACACCAAGGCTACCTGAAAAGTCATCCTGACGCTTCAGTCTTTTCATTTTGCGGGACTGGAAGCTTCAGGGACCACTAGATCGCGGCCGCCGACTCCCCAGGTCCAAATTGGCACGAGGCAGTCGCTTACCTGCAGGGCGATGGGGCGCACACCTGCCCGGCGGGCAGCGCCCATCGCTCTTCGCCGCGGACCTGCCCTCCTCCGCCCTTCTTCACCACCACCTCTGTCCCTTCCCACCCACCTGCAAACAACCGAGGGTAGGGACGGGGGAAGGTGAAGATGAGAAGAAAAGGCACCCAGCAATCCGCCGCAGACTACCTCCTCCCACCCCAGAGTCGGTGCAAAGCCACACCGTCTCTCCCATGTCTCGGGTCTCCAGTGCAAGATCTGCGATACCTTCAACATTTTTGGTTTAAAGCATAAGTAACTTCCCCGCTCCCTTCCGCCCCTCACCTTCACGAAAGCAATCGGGGTTGTGGTACCTTCGATATCTAACAGGATCACAGTGACTTCGGCGGGCACCGAAAGCACGACCATTTCCCCACCCCACCGACTGCTACCAAGAGAATCGGCCTACTGGTAGAGAGGGCGGAGGGCGGCGCCGGCAGCGCCCCCAGCAAAGGGCTGGGCTTCTGGTGGCCCCGAAAAAGAGTCCCGGTACGGATAACCGCAGCGCGGCCTGACGCACGAAGCGGAGAGGGGTGGTCCGAGCGTCCGGACGTAAAGAAGTCCGCAGCCCAAGAACCCCGAACTCGCCAGCTGCCTGGGGCGGGAGGCCCAGACCACGTGGGCAGAAAGAGGGGGCGGTCCTCACGAGGTTCCGAGGGGGCGGGGCGAGGCACGGTGCCGACGTCGATTGGCCGCTAGAGGGCCTCGAACCCGATCCGTCAAAATGGGGCCTCGCGTGGGCGGGAACAAAGAAGCGAACGCGGGAGACGGGTGCGCGCTCTCCGCAGACTGGTTGAGCGAGCGGGAGAGGCTCGGGGCACGTGCAGACGGGAGCCCCGCGAGTGGCGCGCCGGGGATGTGAGTGCCCCTTGCCCTCTACGGCACCTAGCCCCCTCCCTCCCCGCCCACTGCTTCGGCTTTGGCATTTTTTACAGTAATCCGACCGGGTCCGCGCCCCTCCTCCCGTTCCTCAGCCAGGGAAAGAGGCCGTTCGGGTCCCGGTCAGCTGGACGGCGTAGCCGATCGGCTAGCACGAGGCCCGCCGCGCCCCCCTTGGCCCGCGCGCCTGGGGCGGCAGCGGAAGAGGCGTCCGCGCCGCGCGGCCGCCCGGAGAGGCCGCCGCGCGCCCGCTTCCTGTTCGGCTGGTTCCAGCCAGCTCGAGGACAAAACACGCGTGCGCGCGGCGGGCGGACGGCCGGCGCGCTTGCCCCCTCAGCCGCCGGCGCCGGGCGCAGTCCGCCTTTTTCTGGAACGGCGCGGCCACGGTGCTAATCGATAGCAGCAGCTCTGCGCTGGGGGAACCGAGGGCGGAAAAAGGCGGGGTTGACGGCTCTTGGCTGGGAGTGGGCTGGACCGGACGCCAGAGACAAAAGGCTCTCAAGGCAAGAGGGACTGTGGCGTTGCTCGGGATTCTGACCCCAGGACTTCTCGCCCCGTCGTTGTTTCTCTTCTGACGCGTCTCTCTTTTCCCAAGCCCGCGTCCCCTCACCCGCGACCTCGCTTCTCAGCGGGAGGCCCGCGATGGAGGTCCCGCCCCGACTCTCCCATGTGCCGCCGCCATTGTTCCCCTCCGCTCCCGCTACTTTAGCCTCCCGCAGCCTCTCCCATTGGCGGCCGCGGGCGCCGCGGCAGCTTGCCCCGCTCCTCCCTTCGCTCGCTCCCAGCTCCGCCCGGCAGGGGGCGCGCCGGGCCCAGCGCCACGTCACCGCCCAGCAGCCCTCCCGATTGGCGGGCGGGGCGGCTATAAAGGGAGGGCGCAGGCGGCGCCCGGATCTCTTCCGCCGCCATTTTAAATCCAGCTCCATACAACGCTCCGCCGCCGCTGCTGCCGCGACTCGGTCTGCGCGCCAGCACCCCCCGGCCGACCATTCCGCCGCTATGGAAGACATGAACGAGTACAGCAACATAGAGGAATTCGCAGAGGGATCCAAGATCAACGCGAGCAAGAACCAGCAGGATGACGGGTACCGCACGCTTCTCGCCTCTCCCCTCCCCTCCCTTCCCCCAGCGCGCCGCACGCGCCCTTCGTCCCTCGGGAGCCGCGCGCTACCCTTTCCCACCTCACCCCCCCATTGTTGGCCCAAGTCGATTCTCCCGCGTGCCCGCTGGACCTCACTAGGGCGAAGGAAAGAGGAAAATAGGAGACGTAGGGGGGTGACTGGAGAGCCCCGCGGAAGGTGGGGGAAGGGCAGAGGGTTTGGAGGCGGAGGGCGGCGGCGTCTGGGGCCAGAGTGCGCAGGCGCCGCGTGGGGCCTGGGGGGGAGGGGCCGGGCTGGCCGCGCCGCACGCTGCGGTGCTGCAGCCTTATCATTTTATCTGTTAGGGCTCTGGGCAGTTTTTCTGGGGAGGATGTAGGGGGACCCTTGGTTTGGGAACCTGTAGGCGTCTTGTGCCCAGATCCCTTGTATACGTGATAATGAGTTCTTCAGGTAGAACGTTGACTTGACAGCTGAGGAAGACGGTGAACCTGAGTAGCGGGCGTTCAGTTTAGAAAGTTGCATTTTCCTAGTTCGGAACGGTCTTTAAACGTGTTTCGTTGGCCTCGTTTAAACTTTGCCTTGTGCTGTGTGGAGAGCAAAGATTTGGATAAGTGACCTCGATGAAACTGGGGGCTTTTTGTGGTCTTTGGTTCCTGTGTGTTTGTAAACAGGTGGAGTTACTTGTACATGGGTATGAATTTCCCTGTGCTTATAGTTTGTAGCAAACGTCACCTTAGAATTTAACCGTTTTCGCTACTGCTATTTGTAAGTAAACAACTTTTATTTCTAGTAAAATGTTTATTGGAGGCTTGAGCTGGGATACAAGCAAGAAAGATCTGACTGAATATTTGTCTCGATTTGGAGAAGTTGTGGACTGCACGATTAAAACAGATCCTGTTACTGGAAGATCACGAGGATTTGGATTTGTGCTTTTCAAGGATGCTGCTAGTGTTGATAAGGTATGAACCTGTTCGCATCGTGCTTTTTGTGTGCGTTTTGCAAATCGTTCGGCGGGTTGGTTGTAAGTTGTCAGATCACATAAATCTGTCTTCTAGGTTTTGGAACTGAAAGAACACAAACTGGATGGCAAATTGATAGACCCTAAACGGGCCAAAGCTTTAAAGGGGAAGGAACCCCCAAAAAAGGTTTTCGTGGGTGGATTGAGCCCAGATACTTCGGAGGAACAAATTAAAGAATATTTTGGAGCCTTTGGAGAGGTGGGGTGTGCTTTTGTTTGTGTATTTTCATTCGATACGTTTATATAACGTTTTGTCCCTGGCCCAGTTCTTACAAAGAGTTCGGTCAGGGTGGAATTAAATTATTGCTCAAGTCCCTCCCTTATCACTTATTTTTTGTGTGTTACAATGGAAACTAGTGTTTAAATTAATGTAATTTTTAAATTATTGATGGAAATTAATTTATTTCAGCAAAAAGGTGGATGCTTTGGTGTCGTCCGGACTGGAGTGGCATGTGGGGTACAAAATGCTGTTGAGGTTTTCCTTTCCCTTCTAAATAAATGCTTTGTAGATAAGCCAGGTTACTCTAGTTTGATGATGATAATGAAACAGTTTATACAGAAGGCAGTTCATGAGAATAACATACTTTGTTGAAGCTTGTGAATGATTTGTGTCATTCTAAAACATTTTGGTAGCTTTTTACCTTTACTGGGTGATCTTGAGTGTGCATCTTAATTTCAGATTGAAAATATTGAACTTCCTATGGATACAAAAACAAATGAAAGAAGAGGATTTTGCTTTATTACATATACAGACGAGGAGCCAGTAAAGAAATTGTTAGAAAGCAGATACCATCAAATTGGTTCTGGGAAGGTAAAGCCATTTGGATTCTATTTAGTGAACAGTGGGCTGGGTTGGTTTGTTTTTTAAGGGAAATTTCTCAACCTGTTTTGAGAAGGAAAAAAATGGCTTGACGTTAGAACAGTGGTAACAATTTTGTTTTCTTTTTACCTTTTGTTTATAGTGTGAAATCAAAGTTGCACAACCCAAAGAGGTATATAGACAGCAACAGCAGCAACAAAAGGGAGGGAGAGGTGCTGCAGCTGGTGGGCGAGGAGGCACTAGGGGTCGTGGCCGAGGTGAGACTTACTTCCAGGGAAGTGACGCACTGGTTTAAGCTATCAACCGCTAAACATGAATAAGCCCATAGGAGAATAAAGCCAAATTTAAAACTGTTACAGCATGCAAAGTGCTCATTTTAGTCCACGGGGTTTTGTTTTATGGGTTTCACTTCTTCAAAGAATAGTCACTCTGACAGTGTCAGTACTGATGGGCAAATAATACCATTGAATGTAATTAAGATTACATGATACAGCTTGGCATGATAGGTTTTTTATGGCAGGAGTCCTTGTTCTAAACACACTTGCTGTCTTGGGCCCCCCCCCCCCCCCCCCCCCTTTAGATTTAGGAAGCCTGATACTGGCACAATTGGACTTTCTACACCCCCCCCCCCCCCCCCCCCTTACAATAGTGCCTATGGTGGTGATCAAAACTATAGTGGCTATGGCGGCTATGATTATACTGGGTATAACTATGGGAACTATGGATATGGACAGGGATATGCAGACTACAGTGGTAAGAATATTTACTTAACTTCATAAACCAATGGTACTAAGATTCATCTCAGTTCTGAGATTGTGTGTGTTCTATTTATAGAAGTGTTTAGAGTTAAATTTTTGAGATGTAATAGTCTTGGGGTTATACTGATTTAGTGATTGGTTATTATGAGCATTCTAGAATGTGGTATGTGCCTAATTTATAACGACTGAAAATATCTAATTCTGTTTGGCATGCAGAATTTTGCATATCTAATAGCTTTTAAATATATAGAAAAACCATATCATTAAAGGCTAAGTATAATTTTTTGTCTTTTCAATATAGGCCAACAGAGCACTTATGGCAAGGCATCTCGAGGGGGTGGCAATCACCAAAATAATTACCAGCCATATTAAAAGGGACGCTGGAGAAAACAGGTGTGTATAAGAGTTCAAGAAACCAGTGGAAATGTCTAATTTAATTTAAAGATCAATAGACAAATGAAAATGAGTAAAAACAAAATACCACGTAGCGTGTTTTTACTAAATTGTTAAATTTTCACTTGCTTTATGAGCCTGTTTTGCCTAAAGTGTCTATAGATCTTTAACTTTAAGGTTTATCTCACTCTCTTTAGTAACACAGAAAAACTTAAGAGTTTTTCTGTTTGCTCTGTGTGCCAGGTGGTCTAGAGGAGTAATTAAACTTTTTTAGAACTATTAACAGGTAAAGTACTGAAATGGGTACAACTTAAGGAAAACAAGAATGTTGTCTTCTAACTCTGACATTATACCTTGTTTGTACCCGCCAGCGGGAACTTCATTGCAGGCCGTGTGTCACCCTGACCACGTCTATCTCTGGGGGTCGCACGTTGCGGGCAGAGCGCAAGGCATACACCAGAAAACGCTGTCCTGTGGTATGGTCTCTTCCAACTTCATGTACCAGCGTAAAGATTAAAGTGGAAAACTTCAGACTTTGGCTTCTTTTTTAATCTTTTTGAAGATTAAGTGTCTAAACTTAACTTAAATGGTTTTTTACAGGAGTTAAAGTACATAAATGCCTTTTTACAGCTTAATCATTTTGGTCTTCTGTTTAGTGTTGTATTTCAATTGTGGAGCCTCATTTTAAGTGTTCATTCTTTAAGATTTAATGCTTGCTTTTTCTTTTTATAGCTAATAGTGAAATCTACAAACCAAAACAAGAACTTTAAAATCTGGGATTTAAATTAAAGATCATATGCACATAGCAATTTGTTGCCTTGCAATACAAGCATGTTAGAAATTCATGTTGGTAATAGAGTTTTACATGGCTTACTAGAGACACTTCTAGTAAACCTTGCATCTAGCACAGTTCAACCTGTGAATATGAGAAGATTGTGTTCCCTGATTTTCTAAGTAAATTTTAACATCATTTGGGAACTTCATGGTGAGATGATGATGATTACAATTACCCAAACTGCATTTTGCCATTGAATTTGCATGTGATCTTTAATTATTCAAGAAAAGAATAAAGTGAGAACTTAATTCATGAAAGTGGACCTTAGAAAGCTTGCCGGAGTTGCACAAGTCTAATTGCCATTTTGTTTTTGTTTTTAGGAAGAGATTGCTAACGTAACCATCTTGCAGGAGGACATTGAAGATTGGTCTTCTGTTGATCTAAGATGATTATTTTGTAAAAGACTTTGTAGTGTACAAGACACAATTTGTGTCCAACTGTATATAGCCGCCAATTAGTTTTCTTTGTTTTTACTTTGTCTTTTGCTATCTGTGTTATGACTCTGTGGATTTGTGTTTATACAAACTTTATTTGTATGATTACATGTTAAACCTCAAATAAATGCTTCCTTATGTGATTGTTTTTCTGCGTCAGGTACTAAATAGCTCTGTAAAAGTGTAATTTTAAATAAGCAATAATTAACGCACAGTTTATTTTGTTAGGGAGTCTTGCTCCATAGGAAGAGGAGAAAACTGTGGTCCTTTATGAATAGCCAGCTACAGTGTCTGCTCTGTTCCCCTTTTTTGTTAGATGTATTCTATGCTCTTAAGACTTCATTTTTGTCTCTAACTGAGGCTCCCATCATAACCTTTAATGTTGTTTTCCTCTCTGCCTATCTGGAGACATTGTCATGACAGTTTCTGTAGCATAGTTACACTGTTGTGATTAGTGGGAGCTTTCTAGTAGACCATGAGTCTTTGGGTATATTTTGAAAAATAAATGTTTAATGGCACAAAGCATGCTGGTAGCTCCTTTTATGAAGAAAATGTTTTGCTTTGTTTTTGTCTCCGGAAAAGCATTTTTTAATGGTTTGCTGTATTCAGTGGTCTGCTAGAAAGAGCTTTGACTAATCATAGTACAGTAACTTTGTTTTCTTGATTAAAATGTCCAGATATACCCATTGGGGGGGGGGGGGGGCCTTAAACTGTGTTATAGGAGCTACAGGTTAAGAATATCAGATATAGTTAGATTTTACACAATTTTGGCAAATAGGTATGAAGTTTGAACGAAAGTTAGATTACAAGTTTGAAGTAGTAAACTGAGTAAATTAATTGTATACTATTCTGTTGGTTTTATGTCACAGCAAGCACCAAACTGAACAAAATGTTTTCTCTTGGGGCATTGTTAGGAAGCTGTACTGGGTGTTAACTGTTACATGATGTGAGTTCTTAGAAGGCGTGGGTAGTAGGTTTCAGTCATTTTTTTATGCGGTTAGTGCATGAGCTGAGTAGTTGAGCATGTTCACATTCAGACAAAGAGTAATGGAGAAGGATGACCCTTGATTCTTATGTAAATGCAAGTCTTCGGTGTGACCAAGTCATGTCATTACAACAGATCTTCCTGGTGCGTTAAAAAGAAAACCTTTTAGCTCTAGATTTGGGAGGATATCCTAGATGAGTTCAAGTTTTGAATTTCACATTCAGTGTAGTTAACTGAGTTTAATGTTTTCGGTTTTGTTGCTTTGGTTTCATGTTCGCCATTAGGATTGGCATACATGTTTACTTGTGGAATAGTTCACCTCACCTTCAACCAAGTGTAAATTTTTTTATGCTAATGAACCTGCCTCTTGTTTTCTTTGGTGCCTGCAACTTTCTTTATTCCAGTGATGTTTGTACTTGATGGGCTATCAAGTTATAATGCTTTTGGCCTTGTTTTGCTCCTGTTTTGCTATTTGACCTTAATTTAAACCTAAGCCAAGTATCACTGTTGGCTGTTGCAAGGGATTGTTTATTCTTTCAATGTGCAACCTTAGGGGACAGAAAGGAGATTTTCATTTTAAGTTATGTTGTCAAAAGTTAGGTGCAGTGTCTTTAGGGCAGTAAATCTTGTAAGTTCAAATTTATGATTAGGTGACAAGTTGACATTGAGATTGTCCTTTCCCTGATCAAAAATGAATAAAGGCTTTTTTTAAACAAAATCCATACTCTTCAGTCAAGTCTTGATATATATGATTTTGAAGAAATACACTACATCTAGAGATTGTCTGAGGTCTTTTAGAAAAAAGAAGTACCTATGACAGACATACTCAGTTAGCCTGTATTTTTCTTAAATATACTTCCCGAGTAATTTTGACCAAGTTGTGTGTGTGGCTCCCTACCCTGAAAGACATTTAACAGTTTTATTGATCAGCATGTTAATACTCTGTAGTCTCAGATACATTTATATGATTAAGAATTAAGAGTTAAATTAAGATGTTTATTGAGAAACTAACATGGATAAACAGCATTTATTCCATTCTCTTCCATGCATCTTTTTCATAATGGTGAAGGGAACTGGATCCTTTGTCAAGATTTGATAGGATGTTGACCATAAGATGCTGTTTCACTAATTACATCATTGCATTTTTAATGCAGTTTTTAGTTACAGGAGGTAGAACTAATGGTGTGTTTCTACCATTTGAATTTCTTCTACCAATAATGCAAAATCAAGAAATGTCATTCTGTAAAAGTAATTACCTCAGAATTTTCAACTTAACAGAGCTTTCCTGGTAACTCAGCTGGTAAAGAATCCACCTGCAGTGCCGGAGACCTGGGTTCAATCCCTGGATTGGGAAGATCCCCTGGAGAAGGGAAAGGCTACCCACTCCAGTATTCTTGCCTGGAGAATTCCATGGACTGTATGTAGTCCATGGGGTCGCAAAGAGTCAGACACGACTGAGTGCCTTTTGCTTCACTTTCAACTTAACAGAATTGCCATCTACTGTGGTCTCTATAGTTTTGTGGCTGCCCTGTTCTGCTCATGGCATTTTAATTTATTTAATAATGTATTTTTGTCTTGAAATAGTAAAATTAGGTGTGAGGTTTCAGCTGTTTTGGTTGAAGCGAAAAAAATCACTTTTGCTCAACCGTTGCACTTTGTAAAATGTAGGAAAGAGTTTGCTGGTGTTCTGTGGATTTCAGGGAAATGCTGAACATTCTAAAGTTTGTGTTAATTTAAATGGCAGTTAAATTTCTGACTTTTGTCAGGAGGAGTCGCCCTATTTGGGGAGGTAGATCATAATTTCAGAGGGTTGACAGGGCTTAGGTGTGATTGAGGACTATTCAACGATCTCTGATTTCTTAAAAATTTCAAGTAACAGTGCTTAAGGTTTTGGTTTATCAAAAACCAGCACATTGTAGAAATACATGAGAAACACTGTATTGCAGACAAGTTCTCACACTTTCAATGCTTACCTCCTTTTGAGACTGACCAAAAATGATTTCTCTTCAGACAACAGAAGAAATGAATGTCTATACATAAACACTTTAAAAAAGACACACTTGTAATTGACTTGTGGGATCTTAGTTCCCTGACCAGGATTGAACCCAGATCCCAAACAGCTGAACCGAAACCACTGGACCGGCGGGTAATTGCCAGCATTTGCTGTTGATTAGGTTGCCCAAAGGCAGTTTCTTTAGAAGTATTTACTCAGAAATTGTGTTGGCTGGTGAACACATACATGGGGTGGTGGATGAGACAGGAATGTTCAGCCCTGCAGAATAACCTCTGGAAAAAACAATCGCCTGATTTTTCTCAAGTTGAAGAATTAGCTACTAATTCTAATTAGTAGGATTAGCTACTAGAAAATTCGGAATCTATTACAGTCCTATCAGGCATCTCTGAGGCTTAGGTTCAGTGTTCAGGAGTGATCTTAGTAAAGTTGGTGCCAAGATCTTTTGTAGGAAAGGAAGATATTATTACAGTTGATTTATTCTGATGAAATGGGCCTAGATAAACTGGAGCAACTAAACTCCAGTGAGAGCTGTCCTGTGGGGTTGACTGATTACTTTGGTTGCCCTTGCACAGGGAGACATTTGATGCGTAGAAGTTCTTCGTAGGCCATACAGACAGGGGTCAAGAGGGTGTGTCAGTGAAAACTAAAATACAGCGTAATTCCAGTATTTTTCATTACCAGGAAAGCCTTCCCATGGCCTATATGTTGAATGGCTTATGTGTCACATTGCTCTCATTATGTAGTGACATTTCTATTAAAGGCATGGCTGTCAGAACATGTACAGTGATACTCAGCAGTGTACTATCAATTTATTGACGCCAGGTAAAAAAGAAGCATTCCCATTAGCTTTTACACATGTATTTTAATGTGTGATTTTTTTCAACCAAAATTTTGAGTTATTTTTGATGGCACTGGGTGTTGGTTGCTGCCTGAGGGTCCTCTTGCAGTGAGTGGGGCTGCTCTCCACTGTGCTGCACAGATGTCACTGTGGTGGCTTGTCCTGCTGTGGACGCAGGCTCTAAGTGTAGGCTTAGTAGTTGTGGCTGAGGAGTTCAGTGGCGCTGTGGCATGTGTCACCTTCCAAACCAGGGATCAAACCCTGCCTTGGCAGGCAGATTCTTAGCTACTGGACCCCCAGGGAAATCCTCATCATGTGACTTACGTGAGACTTTTAAAATACTGGAAATGGGACTTCCCTGCTGGCCCAGTGGTAAGAATCTGCCTGCCAATGCAGGGGACACAGGTTTGATTCCTGGTCTGGCAAGATTGCATGTGCAGGGGCGCAACTTCTGAAGCCTGCATGCTCTATAGCCAACAAGCAACAGCGGAGCCCACATGCCCTAGAGCCAGCAAGCTGGCATGCTGCAGCCGCCGAAGCCCCGTACCCTAAAACCTGAACTCCAGAAGGAGAGGACACCGCAACTAGAGAGTAGCCCCGTTCACTGCCTGAGTGCAGCAATGGAGACCCAGCACAACCAAAAACAGTTACGAAGTTATGTGTATGTAAAAAAAATATTTTTAATAAGATACTGAAAACAAGTCCAATAATTTTTGCTACTCTCTAGGACTTAAGAACTATTCTCAGTACATCATTGGAGATAAGAGAAAAGTCACTTTTTAGTATGTGTAATTTTTCATAATTTGGAAAAATAAAGTATTTGTACAGATATAATTTTTAAAAATTATGCATTTGAATGACCAGAAATAAACAGACCCCCAAATACACCTTTGATCTCATTTTAAATGTCTATTTTTTCATATCTATATGTTTTTTAGTTACAATTATGTAAAAATAGAACTTAGAGCCTGTCATAACTAACTTCCCATATTCCTTCTTAGGGTGAGGGGGATGAGTAGTCGTACCATTCTTAGTTACCTGATGATCAGAGATTAAACCTGTGCCCCCTGCCTTGGCACCAGAGTCTTAACCCCTGGACTGCCAGGAAAGTTACCAGACACTCTCAACCAGGAAATAACACAGGACTTGATTGCTGTTCTCTTGACAATTTCATGGGAAAATATGGAGACTTTTTAGTATAACTGAAGAGCAACCATCACAGTTTATTAACTCTATTTAGGAGTTGCCATAGGAAAGAAAATGCACTATGTGAAGATGTCAAAGTTTCTCAAAATTACTCCATAAATCAGTGCTGAGATTCTATTCTTTTTTGAATTTTCAATACATATTTAGATTTCTGTGCATTAGTGCACTGCTACCTATAGTGTGAATAGTATCCAGATGTACATATATATAACTCCATGAGATACAAGTGAGTCACACAAATTCTTTGGTTTCCCGGATCCTTATGTTTCCACTGTAATCGACTAAGTGTGTAATAGCATTATGTGTAAAAAATGTGTACCCCTTAATTTAAAAATATTGCTAAAAAGCTCTAACCATCATCGGAGCCTTCAGCAAGTAGCCTTTTTGCTGCTGAAGGGTTTTGCCTCAATGTTGCTGCTGACTGATCAGAGTGGTGGTTGCTGAAGGCTGGGGACAAAAATGAGGTTTGCCATATTGAATGATTCTTCCTTTCATGATCAATTTCTCTGTGCCTCTTAATGCTGTTTAATATCATTTACTCACAGTAGAACTTCTTTCAGAATTGGAGTCAATCCTCTCAAACTGCCACTGCTTTACCAACTGAGTTTATGTCATATTCTAAATTCTTTGTTGTCATTTCAACAATCTTCACAGAATCTTCAATGGGAGTAGTTTGCATCTCAAGAAACCACTTTATTTGTTCATCCATAAGAAGCAATTCCTCTTCCATTTTATTATGAGACTGCAGTAATTCAGACATATCCTCAGACTTCACTTCTAATTCTAAATCTCTTGCCATTTATACCACATCTCCCTGCTGAAGTCATGAACCCCTCAAAGTCATCCATGAGAGCTGGAATCAACTTCTTCCAAACTGGCATCTGACATTTTGACCTCATGAGGCACAGATGTTCTTTAATGACATCTAGAACAGTGGATCTTTTCGACAAGATTTTCAATTGACTTTGCCCAGATCCATCAGAGGAATCACAAAGCATGGCAGTTATAGCCTTAATGAGGATGGACATTGCAGGGACTGATGCTGAAGCTCCAAAACTCTGGCCATCTGATGCAAAGAGCCGACTCATTGGAAAAGACCCTAATACTGGGAAAGATTGAAGGCAGGAGAAGGGGATGACAGAGGATATGATGGTTGGGTGGCATTGCTGATTGGATAGACGTGAGTTTGAGCAAACTCCAGGAGATGGTGAAGGACAGGGAGGTCTGGCATGCTGCAGTCCATAGATTCACAAAGAGTCAGACACCACTGAGCAATTGAACAACAACAATAGCCTTACAAAATAGATTTCTTCAGTAAGACTTGAAATCGAAACTACTCCTTGATCCATGGGCTGCAGAATAGGTGATGTGTTAGCAGTCATGAAAACAGCAATTATCTCACTGTGCATCTCCATCAGAGCTCTTGGGTGCATTGTCAACGAGCAGTAATACTTGGAAAGGAATCATCTCTTCCGAGTAGTTCTCTCAACAGTGGACCTAAAATATTAAACCATGTTGTCAACAGATGTGCTGTCCTCCAGGCTGTGGCCATTTATAGATGACGGGAGATGGCTTCTTAAACACCAAGAACCAGCCTCTGCTGGCTTCAGACTTTTTTCCTGCAGCTTCCTCACCTCTCTCGACCTTCAGAGAACTGGAG